TTTCTTGGACCCGCACGGAACACGTAGGTTATTTGTGATATTTCGCTTGTTCCATCTCCTAAAGTAACGCTATACGTGTTATTCATGAATCACATTTGGTTTTGGCTTTCCGAATGTTTTACCGAATTGTTGTTGGAAATAAACGTGTTAAGAAATCTCGCCGGGATGATGAAATAACTCGTGTTGTCGAGAAAGCTTTTGGGTTTGTTAAATCGCAGAGGAAAAAGTGCAACATGTAGGACTTACGTTCTGCTTTCACCATCAATTTCAAGCAGGCAGTGTGAAATCAATATTTGTCTTTAAGTCTTCAAGGTCATAGACATCATAAAATCATTACTTCTTGGCTGGTATTGTGGAATCATTGTTTCTTAAAGAAACCGTAAATTTCGTGGACATTTAGTAGATACGTACTAAGATTGAATTATAGCTATTTATTGACATGTAGGGTAGGACTGTATGGATACTGAGAAAGGATAGTTTTTTCGTTTCCCACAGCCATCCAACGTAGTAAAAACATGTTTCATTTCAATCGTTAACGTTGTATGAAAGAAGTAAAGTATTAATCTCCTAGAAAATGTGGCTGAAAAACACAAGATGTTTTCTCCGTCTACATATAAAGTAAATTTTAAAAACATTCATAATTATTAATCTTTAGATTCAATAACCTTAAACAAATTATCGCAAATTAGTTACAGAAAACTAAAATATTTACGGGGCAACTAAAGAAAGTTGCGGGTTTTCTCCGCCACGTGAATATTTGTTACGATATTGAAAATATCCAATCTCAAGTCAAACCTCAATGTTAATGAATATGCAGTTCCTTAGACAGTTCGACTTTGCCAGAGCATCGGAAGGCGTGGTAGTCCGTGCTGGAGGCATATACAACGGACATTCAGTGCTTCATGGCGCACGGAAGACGATCGCATTTTCACTTTTTATTACATTGTTTATATTATATTGTCAAACTATTAGAGTTAAGATTAATTAAGATTTTCATTCACAATATATACCACTTATATAGCATGAGTACGGACGGCTTACTTTTTACGGGTATCACCTTCATAAGGTTAATTATTACAACTTCAAGGAGATTATGGCCATTTTAACTACAATATATTATCCCGGCTTCTTACCGTCCCTCCCGTAAACTCGTCCCTTTGTGCGGCAAAACATCGTTTAGCCGGTTCGCGATACACGGCTATGAAAATAACGATAAAGTCTTGTGGCTTTGCATTTCGCTTAAACCATTGCCGCCGGGGATGGCATGTACGTACATGCCATGCCCACTGTGAGTCGACTTGTTCGATTGTTTTTACACATAGATGGCTACACTTGTACCAAGTATCCAATGAGCCAATTACGAGTACTGCCTGTCTCGCCCGTTCACCCTTTTCATCGATTTACGAAAATATTTAACGTTATCCTAATTTGCTGTTAAAAATAACACCATCTATATTTATAGCACTAGTAAAAATACGTTTTTTTTCCCGCCAATTCGAGGAAAGGTGAAATCAGGACTAGCAGAGCCATCTATGGACAGAGATATTTCACAAAAATATTAAAAAAAATAGTACTGCATTTCCCCCATTTTTTGTTCATTTTCCCCGGCGGCAATGGGTTAACACGGTGTACTGTTATTTGGAGTCGACTTACCTGTATTTCTTACGAAAACCAACTTGGGCCATACCAACCTGCTTTTTACGGTGAATCTTTCAACCACACAAATTCACAAAGTATTCGAGTTATGATTAGTCAGAGAAATATGACGTCATTTTCTGAAACCGCAAATGGCTATAATTTATTAATATAATTTATAATTGTCAATACAGCAATTTCGTATACATGGTTGTTAAACAGCAGTTACCGTTTGTTGGCGTTTTATATTTAAGATATACATAGCATTTTCTGTAACTATATACTATATCCCAAAGTCTGTAGTAGTACTTAACTATACCTTACTTTATGCATTATTTCCCATGTATTCTGCACTCTATTACCGGTATTTTAGGGAGATAGTATGCTTATTGTAAACGCCAGTAATTGTTCATATATTTAGTAACTATGAATCTCATGGGTATATCACACCTGAAAAATATTAAATACCACAGATACATAATACATGTTTCGTAAATTCCGTAAACTCGTAACAGAGCCTCAGTAAGTGGGTGGGTCTGGGCCAGGAGTTTCCTCCCTCTGCTTCTCACTTTGTGGCGGATACAGCCGGGCAGCTTCAATAAAGAAATTGTGGAGGGCACTTTGTTCGTATTCTCGAATAAATAAGTAGCGAGAAAAGTACTGAGAGAAATACTCAGCCCGCATGCCAGGACTCGTCGTCCATTCGTTAAAGTCCCTCCACAGTCGCTCTATTGTCTACATATGGACAGCCGAGTCCTTGGCTTCCACAAAATTTTCCGAGTGGCATATAACTTTATGGACGTATCCGTGATCTTTTAATGAGCGATAACCTGCCCAGCCGTCACTGATAGTGGTGCTCCCTTGTAAAATATATTTCTTAATTAAAGGGACGAGCGTTTCAGTACTCCTATTGTCTGCATCTAACAGGGGCACACTTGCTTAAGGAGTCTTCGGTTATATTTGCGCCGCACAAGCAACGAGACGTCTGCCTAGACGATTACGCCGGCACCTATTAGCTTTTGATTTTGAAGCCAATTCTCTGTCACCTCAGAGCAAAAGCTCCTCCAGTTAACACTAGTGGCGGTTGAAAAAATAAAGATAGGTAGTGATCGTCTTAAGGTTCCAGAATTTTTAGGGCCATTGGTTAACGAAAATCAAGATTTTCGATGGTGACAAAGAGCCGGCGTAATTGGTCATCGAGTAAGGGCAACTTCTGTGCCGCTTAGTTTTGGCGATTTTCTTTCCACCGCCCACAATACCACAGGTGATCATCTTTCCGGTACTTACACGGCAGATTAGAGTACGGGTACTACGGCGGTGGGGAATACTCCGTGGCTTCGTAGGGACGTTGATGAGTTCTCGTCTTCTTTATGAGATTCCTTTGTGAAGTCTGAATAGTTCCAAGCACAACCCTCGCACTTGCTCTCCATTATGTGCTGTTTTCTTGGCATACACTTACCCGCGAAGTAATATGTGTAATTCAATGTCGAATTAGTAAGGTCTCGCCACTTGTAGCCGTTGCACAATTCCGGTAGGGGGTTTAGGAAGCGGTTCCCTCTACCTGCCACTACGAAACCCTATGTACATTGAGGAGTGACTGCTGATTATGCTCAAAATGCTGAAACAGGCAATGAAGTGGACGTCACCCTAAAGACAACGATTTTATGATCACAAGTGATGGATTTTAACCATAAATGGCGATATTTTACTTATGTAAACATTGCACGTGGCTGCACGTGACTAGATAAACCCCATGTCAGCGGGTTATTTAATGTCCCCCTTAGATTTTAGTGAGTTTTGTTACATACAGATGGCTCCACTTGTTCTTTCCAATACTAGGCCTACTGATATTAACATTGTTATTATTCTTATTGATATTATGATTATTAAATTGTTATTAGAATATTAATAACATGAAAGACAATAGAATAATAGAAGTGAAGCTTTCAAAAATGAAGGAAAAAGGGTAAACAGATGAGATAGGTAAGACTAATAGCTGACTCCTTGATGACTCGGTAATTGTAGATCCATCTCTATGTAAAGGCAACAGATAAACTTCTTATTACAGTGGGCATGGCATTTTAGTCTTGACACCTGCTGACATTAAGTTAAAGGTACTTCATCGCTGCGACCGCGTGAAGTTACAAATATCCCGTCGCCTTCTTTACGTGGGGGGGGGGGTGTTGGATGGCGATTTTTTAAAGAGTGAGATATTTTTTCTCTCGCACGTGTCGCACAACTTTGTTATGATCCATTTGCGAAGGTAATACCATAGTGTCTTGCTTTCGTTCCTTCTGTTCGTCACATGCAAAATTTTACTTGTAATTCAAGGACGTGTGAAACTAAAACTATTCCTGAAGAAGGTATGATAATTGTCATGAGAGACATAGAGCAACACTATGAAATAGATAATAATCATTTAAGGTAAGCCTACATTCACTAATCAAAGTTCGAGTCTGGACCAAAGAAATTGTACCTGTGCACTTCTTCCTCTGACAATCGCTTTGAAAGTCTTGTCCTCTAAACATTGTCTATATTACAGTATTTGTTTTCACATCACAGTTTACACAGTGACCTTTGATATCTAGTTAATTTGTTTGTTTTAATCATTGACCATTGATTTCAGGAATGGGTCAATATATAATATAAGGTGGTGGCAGAGTTGGGTAATAAAACCTACATGAAATGATAGAACAATACAAACCAAGACAAAGTTCTTCTATGGCAATATGTGTGCAAATGCTTCTCAAGGGTGCTATTTGTAAAAGAAATGGGAAGAAGATGGGTTACTTTCGAAACAATTTTGATATTTTTCTGCATGAAATCCATTGCTTTCAACGATTCTAGGCATTGTTCCTTGTGCAAATGGGCGACCTAACCCAACATCCAACCTAACCTAACACCGTGGTATATATTCCCTAGACAGGGGGCTCTGCCCCCTGGACCCCCAGAGTAATATATATACCTAGCACCCTTGGGAAGCATTTGCACACATATTGCTATAGAAGAAATTTGTCTTGGTTTGTATTGTTCTATTATTTCATGTAGGTTTTATTACCCAACTCTGCCACTACCTTATATTACATATTGTCCCAGGAATGGCACAGAGAAGCCTAATCATTAACAAAATGTAGTTATGTTAAAGTCATGATCTTGCTAGATTAATGTTCACCATCCTCTTGAGATGAAATTCAGGATAAGTTGATAGACTCGTGTTAATCTCGCCTCTGAGGTGAGGTGTCTGCATGACGCTTCATTTAGGTCCAGCTACAACTGTTTGTTATAGATGTGATGGAAAATACTTCACATTCTTTGAGATATGTTAGTACTATCATTGTTTGAAACTCTATGAGTATACAAGTGATTAGAGTAAAATTAGTAGTCTAATAAAAAATAAAAGATAGATAGTATTCCAGGAAGCATATAAAGTGAGGTAATATTATAATACCTCTATTGTCTAATATCTAGTTTTGTGTGACGAGAAGGACTGATTGTTCCCCCGCCAAAAGGTCTAGGCTGGAATGCTGCAGAAATTGCCTAACACCAAGAGATTGACAGATCTGTGTTGGTAGCAAATGTTCATACATCACATTTTCAATTGCTTTAACTTTGCAGAGGTTATGGCACCTATTGAAAATAAAAGGGTAAATAATATTTTGGTGGCAAAATCAGCATCAGTTATTACTATGAAGGGTTACATGTAATTTATTTTCAGATATAATTTCTTTAAATGATAGTTAAGAATTTTGTTATGTATCATTTCTATAAAGTACAGTAGTTTCTATGATTATTTAAATAGTAATGACCTTGTTTATTGTAAGTTAGGGTGAAAGCACTACATTCAAGAACGGCCAATGATGTCATGTTTTGAAGAAATGAACAAAACACCCTACAAATATTTGACAGAATCCATCAAAATTTCATGATTATGAAGAGAAACAGCATTGTAAATTAGACAGATTACTTTTATTAGGACTGTCCTATATAACTAAAATTTACTTATATATTAGCTATCAGTTAAATTCATTGCCACTATTTAAAGGCAGACATCTCTGACTTGAAATATTTGCTGTCAAGCCAATTAATTCCTAAATTAAATACACTAAAAGAATACTCATTGTTTTTAAAGTTTCATGTATAAAGAAGCATATGAATTGATGAATGCGTATATATATTATTTATTGTGCTTTACTCTTACACTGTTCCTTTGCTTGTTCTTGAGCTTCACTGTACTTACATGAGCAGGACCGGGAAGATGAAATGAATTTGGAAGCAGTTTTTCTTGCATTTGTGCCAGTGGGTTGGCAGTTGTGCATCATGACCTAGTTATTATATCTTATATCAACTGTCATCTCTTCAGATGCTTTGATTGTTTAGACATATAGCAACAGATGATTGCTTGCAAGATAAGATTTGCTAGGTATTATTTTCACTTCTTAGATCATATAGTCTGTCTTACCATTTGTGATAACCTTCAAGTATTTGGAATTTATTTAAAAGTCATCTCTTCTGATCACAAATGTTATAAGTCTACAGACTATGACAAAATTTTATAAACAATCCATATTTAGTCATTGTAAGATGGAAAGAAGCAAGACTAACCACTTTCCCTTTATAGCAAATAGCTGAGATAACTGCATTGAAGCCATGAAGCAAGTTGCACTGGGTTGGACAGGGGAGTGGAATAGTACTCAAGTTTAATAAATTCCTTGTTGGAAAAGATGTTGTGGAAGAGCTGGTCAGCATGAATATTGCTTGTAAAATGGAATCAAATCAGGTTCCAAGTTTGATTCATTCACTCAGAAGAACAATATATTTAGTAATTTAGTTCTGTTCCTGTTAAAGATGCAAAAGTTGTTCTTAGATAATCTTGATTAATGCTGATGTATTTCATTCAGATCTTTTAAATTCTCAAGAAAACTTTCTGCTTTGCATTTTTTTCAGCATTTTATAGACAAAAGTCTGAGAAAACTAAGAACAGTGGTGACTTTATAGTAATTTTTTTTCATGATAGTGTTATACTAGAAGAACTAGATGCAAAAAAAGGAAATGCATTCTATGTTAATTGTTTAATTGAATGACATGCTACGATCATCATCATCAGCGTTTTAGGTAGTTCTGTTTATAATGAGTAGAAGGCTAATGAACAAATAGGTTACCATATGTTGATTGCTTGTGTAGATGATTATTTGGTAAGGTAATAATTTAGATACTTGCCCTTTAGTTAAGTGAGCTTTCTCTGTGCAGTTAGGCTGTATCAGCTAATCAGTGAATTGGTCATTTGAGGAGAGAGAAGAAGAAAAAACTAAGAGAAATAGATAATAGGAAACGAGTAAGAAGTAGCACCATGTTAGTTAGTAATGAAGATTTAGAACAAGTAAGCCCTCTCTACAGTCTAATGCTGTAATACTTTGATTCAGGATTTATTTACAAAATTTCATCAGGAATTAACCAAAGTGCACTGGGTTGCACTTAGGTTAACCTAATACCACTGGGGTCATGTAATTGCCACTGTAGTGTTGTTTTATGAAATGTGCATAGTACATAGGTGGCTCCACAAAGCTTAGCCACAAAGGAGCCATTTAGTAGACCTAAGTGACCTTGCTTAATGTACTCTTTCCTCAGTATTTAATTTTTTTTTTTTTTTAAGTTTCATGTATAAAGAAGCATATGAATTGATGAATGCGTATATATATTATTTATTGTGCTTTACTCTTACACTGTTCCTTTGCTTGTTCTTGAGCTTCACTGTACTTACATGAGCAGGACCGGGAAGATGAAATTAATTTGGAAGCAGTTTTTCTTGCATTTGTGCCTGTGGGTTGGCAGTTGTGCATCATGACCTAGTTATTATATCTTATATCAACTGTCATCTCTTCAGATGCTTTGATTGTTTAGACATATAGCAACAGATGATTGCTTGCAAGATAAGATTTGCTAGGTATTATTTTCACTTCTTAGATCATATAGTCTGTCTTACCATTTGTGATAACCTTCAAGTATTTGGAATTTATTTAAAAGTCATCTCTTCTGATCACAAATGTTATAAGTCTACAGACTATGACAAAATTTTATAAACAATCCATATTTAGTCATTGTAAGATGGAAAGAAGCAAGACTAACCACTTTCCCTTTATAGCAAATAGCTGAGATAACTGCATTGAAGCCATGAAGCAAGTTGCACTGGGTTGGACAGGGGAGTGGAATAGTACTCAAGTTTAATAAATTCCTTGTTGGAAAAGATGTTGTGGAAGAGCTGGTCAGCATGAATATTGCTTGTAAAATGGAATCAAATCAGGTTCCAAGTTTGATTCATTCACTCAGAAGAACAATATATTTAGTAATTTAGTTCTGTTCCTGTTAAAGATGCAAAAGTTGTTCTTAGATAATCTTGATTAATGCTGATGTATTTCATTCAGATCTTTTAAATTCTCAAGAAAACTTTCTGCTTTGCATTTTTTTCAGCATTTTATAGACAAAAGTCTGAGAAAACTAAGAACAGTGGTGACTTTATAGTAATTTTTTTTTTCATGATAGTGTTATACTAGAAGAACTAGATGCAAAAAAAGGAAATGCATTCTATGTTAATTGTTTAATTGAATGACATGCTACGATCATCATCATCAGCGTTTTAGGTAGTTCTGTTTATAATGAGTAGAAGGCTAATGAACAAATAGGTTACCATATGTTGATTGCTTGTGTAGATGATTATTTGGTAAGGTAATAATTTAGATACTTGCCCTTTAGTTAAGTGAGCTTTCTCTGTGCAGTTAGGCTGTATCAGCTAATCAGTGAATTGGTCATTTGAGGAGAGAGAAGAAGAAAAAACTAAGAGAAATAGATAATAGGAAACGAGTAAGAAGTAGCACCATGTTAGTTAGTAATGAAGATTTAGAACAAGTAAGCCCTCTCTACAGTCTAATGCTGTAATACTTTGATTCAGGATTTATTTACAAAATTTCATCAGGAATTAACCAAAGTGCACTGGGTTGCACTTAGGTTAACCTAATACCACTGGGGTCATGTAATGGCCACTGTAGTGTTGTTTTATGAAATGTGCATAGACATAGGTGGCTCCACAAGAGCTTAGCCACAAAGGAGCCATTTAGTAGACCTAAGTGACCTTGCTTAATGTACTCTTTCCTCAAGTATCTTAGATTTTTTTTTTTCCCCTGATGCTATCAGCATTGATGTATTAGGTTGACTTTTGAAGGCTGAAGTCCATAGAAGTCATAAACCTCAATGTTTGTAACTTGCAGAATAGAGTAACCTTCATTAGCATGGCATCTGCTGAAAATTGGGCCCATGCTTGCCATGGCATCTACTATATAGATGCCATCTGTTGTCACTAAGTTTTTAAAAAATCAATAAGCATTATATTTTTAAATATTCCTAATTATTTGTTTTTCAGGTTGATGATGAAGTTTCAAGGCCAAACCCACACTCTTCTAAAAGCTTAAAGTGAGAATACTTAAATCCCCAAACATGTCATTCACAATGTTACGAAGTCCATGGCACCGACTCCTGCCAACTGTGAAGCAGGTATATAGCCATACCTTTTGATGTCTCATTATATGTAATACTTTCAAATACCTCTTGTTCATAAATCAGTGCACTGTTCATTTTTGAATGTTCACAATGAGGTACCAACCTTATATCTCATGTCATAACTCAGTACTGCACGTAATTTAGTGAAAGTTTAAAAACATAGATGTACATAGAAGACTATTTTAGAGATGCTGTTTGTGATAAGATACTCATACCATGATGTCATATATACACAGCTCAAACAGTAAGCTTTTTTGAGAGAGAGAGAAGAGAGAGAGAGAGAGAGAGAGAGAGAGAGGAAGAGAGAGAGAGAGAGAGAGGAAGAGAGAGAGAGAGAGAGGAAGAGAGAGAGAGAGAGGAAGAGAGAGAGAGAGAGAGAGGAAGAGAGAGAGAGAGAGAGAGGAAGAGAGAGAGAGAGAGGAAGAGAGAGAGAGAGAGGAAGAGAGAGAGAGAGAGGAAGAGAGAGAGAGAGAGGAAGAGAGAGAGAGAGAGGAAGAGAGAGAGAGAGAGAGAGAGAGAGGAAGAGAGAGAGAGAGAGAGAGGAAGAGAGAGAGAGAGAGAGAGAGAGAGAGAGAGAGAGAGAGAGAGAGAGAGAGAGAGAGAGGAAGAGAGAGAGAGAGAGAGGAAGAGAGAGAGAGAGAGAGAGAGAGAGAGAGAGAGGAAGAGAGAGAGAGAGAGGAAGAGAGAGAGAGAGAGGAAGAGAGAGAGAGAGAGAGGAAGAGAGAGAGAGAGAGAGAGGAAGAGAGAGAGAGAGAGGAAGAGAGAGAGAGAGAGGAAGAGAGAGAGAGAGAGAGGAAGAGAGAGAGAGAGAGGAAGA